TGTGGCAGGGGGGTTGGAGATTCATGATCCTTGGGGTCCCTTCCAACCCTGGCCATTCTGTGATTCTGTGTAATGTTTTCACCAGCCACTATTTTTTCTTCAGAAAAAATAAAGATTAGAATAAAAAAAATCCTGGCATTTAGCCTGTTGGGAACTGACACGTATCAGCCGGCGTGCTGGAGCCCTCTGTGCTACTCTTGGCCACGACAGCACAGATAATTCCACACACTGAACTTCTCTAACTCAAACCATTTATATTCATTTCCCAATCAGCCTGGGAGGCAAAAGAACGTGCTGTGTGACAGAAAGGCAGAACTAGCTGCTTTCCAAGTCCTGTGCCTACAGCTTAAATATCCACAAAGTGCACTGCTGCTGTTGTCCAGGGTAACAGCAATATTTTACAGCCAGGCAGCCAGATAAGGACCATGAGAGAAAACAGCCTTCTACACAGGAGCACCAATATTTGAATTTTTCCTACTTGCTCAGGATGCAGCTACATTATTTAGTGCAATCTGCAATTGCTACCTTAAAGAAAAGATCCCAGCAGAGCTAAATTCAGAGCAATAAAAGGCTGAGCCCAACCAAGCAGCAGCAGACGACAGTTATCCTCTGAAGGACTTGGACTATTTTATTATCTCTGCTGATGTATAAGCAGGCAAGGCTCAAGGACACTTCTTTCTGAAGTTTCCTAAGCTAGCAATGAACTTGAAACAAAAATCAGTATGGAACCCCTCAGCCTAAATCATTCAAACATCGAGGTCAACATGTTGGGCAGTCTGGCTTTTAAGCAGCATTTGAGATCATTTACAGTTGATGTAAACTCTATCAGGGAACATGGCTTTCAGCTGTGACTTCCCTTAGGATCACATTCACTTCAGCTTTGCTATCACTACATGGAAAAAACAAAACAGAAAATACTACTGAAAAGAGGAAATGCAGTTTTCAGTGAAAACTCACAGGGCAGGTAAGGCTGCTGGATTCTCAGCACCAAGCAATTATTGAACACCAGTAAAATCAGATTAGACAGAGCCATGATATTTTAATACAACCCAAGTAACTCTTTATAAAGTATTTTATTGTCACCAACAGAAATGCAGTGAGGTAACAAGGCAGCCAAGCTTTTGATCCTTTTACCCGTGTGCTACGTGCTAATTAGAATAGAAATTTGCTTCAAAGTGAACGTAGTGGGTTTTTTGGTTTTTTTTGGTTTTCTTTAAGGCATGTCTTAACATTTCCGTGGCTGTTGAATAATATAAATTCTTTTAGGCAGCATGAACTTCTCCAAGGAAGGCAGTGGCTTTTGGTGAGCAACTTGTAACGCTGCTGCAGGGATATCGTGGCTTATCTGTAACATTAAAATGGGGGAAAAGAAGTTGTAATGAAACACGACTTTTTGCTGTTTGCTTCCTAAGTTTGATCACATGAAAGCAGTTTAAAGAACATAATAAAACCTAAAGCTAAAAAGTTCAAGTGATCAACACATCACAACTCAGTGACTGCACGTTTAATAATTTCTGGTTTAAAAACAGAACATTAGCATGACTTTGTGACTGATTTTTTACATTTTTCCCCAGTTGTTCACAAGATCACTTGCTAAGATACAGAAAGCAGAGCAAAAACTGTATCCCAGAGTTAACAGTAGTTTGCTTCAAATTCTTACTTACTGATTCAAACAACCATCACTGTAGTATTTAATTATTACTTTCTAAACTTAGTGCTGAACTTTATGTACGAGAGCCTAGAAACCAGCTGTAGAAGAAAGTGCTAGTTAAGAGCAGAGGAGATCGGAGGGAGAAGGAAAACAGAATGATGTAAGTATTCACCTTAGCAAATAGGTCTAAGCCAAATTTCAAGATCTACATAGCAAAGCTTTGATCCCATCTGTTGACGAAAGGCTCGTGTTGAAATGCGACTGAGGTTGGTTGTTTTTTTTTTTTTTTAACCAAGCTCTACAGATGAGGAAGTCCTTGTATGTTTCACAATCTAAAGATCACATATGTATGACAAACAGACGAGAGCTGTCAGGTTTTCTGATTAGCATGCAAATTAAAAAGCCGCTTGTGAAACCAGCTTTTGCAACGTGTAATGGTAAGACTCTGCATCAACAACACAGTGAGAGTTATGAGACAGTACCTAAGGACAGAGCCATAACAACAAATAGAAGTGTCCATCAATAGATTTGTGACACTGAATCTATATACACACAGTATAACCTTATAGTATTTCCAAGAGAGAAATCAACAAAATGACCATCAGGCCTCAAGCGACACAACTGCTCACAGATCAACCGTGTAACATGCTGCACCTGCTGTCTCAACAGCTTGCAGTAACTTTACATTCGCTTACCATCAATGCACTCCTTCTCAACACTACTCACTTCCTTTCTAAGTGCTCTCTTCTCTTTGCCAAGGTGAATCTTTAGAGAAGCTAAAGCTATTTCTATAGTTGGGTGATGCTGAAGACTGTGGGTTTTCTTTTTGGCAGAGCTGGGGTTACGAGCCAGAACAACTTACTGCATCACTGTTATTTTTTTCCCACATTTCAATAAATTTGCAATGTACCACCTTAAAAAAAAAAACAAAACACCACTATCTTGATATCTCCCAGTACCTTTCTACAAGGGGTGCACAGAGCAACTTCATGGCTACTTATTTAATGTTCAATAGGAGTGGAATCATAGATGGCAGAGAAGAGAAGACAACTAGTTACATGCTAGCCGCACACCTCTGACATAACAGATCATCCCAGGAATGTCCAGCAGCAGATGACAAATCTACAAATAGCAGGCAACAGCAATTTAAGGAAAATTCACTTTCTGATATTCTATCTTTAGCTTCTCGGAGAGGTCCTGACAAACACGCATCTTGTCCTTCCAGCCCTACTTACTTTGCGCAGCACGACGTCCGTCTGATGCATTTTTGAAATACTGACAATACTGCAAAAGAGACAAAACCAGTATTTAGCATTTCTATCTTGCAAAGACACTGACAGCTGCTTTTCAGACTTCTTAATACAAAATATTTTGTAATAGAAATTCAGGTTCTGGAGCTAAATCCCTTAACCACATTAAGGAATACAAGGGTATGAAAAAGAAAGTGCTGTCTCAGAATAGAGAAATGGAAAATCCATGTTGTTTCCTTTTTATTTATATATAAAGAAAAACTATATATAAATATCGTTAAATATTTCAAGAAGGGTTTTTTTTTTAATGCACCATGGAGTAATTTCACAGAACTCCAGTGCTGGAATTCAGACCCACAAAGCTTGACTTGCCATTTTCTTTATTGTAATCTAAGCTTACAGAAAGCATTCCTGCTTTGTTGTGGGTGGTTGGAGGAGAAGTAATTTTTCTTTTGACATCAAAATCTCTCAAGAAATAACTTTTTGTGCAAGAATGTCCCATTACTCCTTAATATTTTAATACTGCAGAATAGCCACATCACCAACATTCCAAATAAACGAGCTGCGGGTATGAAATTACTTAGCTAAGCATTAGAAGACTGCACATTCTTCTGACAATACCATTATTTGCATTGATACCTCCGCAGCAGAAAATGAAGTCCTTACAGATGGACCAAGACACCTGAACTGAACTCCAGAAAAAGCAGGTACTGATTTAGTGAAGTTAATGATTCGCGGCTGCAGCAAGATGAATTTCCTGCTGAAATTTCAATCTATTTCAACTACTGATAATAGTTTGCCACATTGACAAACATGGGATAAAAAAGTCTGTCTGTGCCACCAGATAACCGTGACTTTGGGAGAGGCAGGAGCAAGACTGGACCCAGACAACTCGTGATCAGTGAGAGAAATGTAAGGCATAATGCACACACACAAAAAAAGCACAAGCCGGGTTATTAAAACAGCAAAACCCCATTTCTCTTAACTAATGAGGTATAACCAATTTTAATGTATTGTCACAAACTCATTTGGACTTGCATGAGGCATCCTTGTGAATTACAGGACAGCCTAAAATCATTTTATTTTATTGGAAATGAATTGAAAATTGCTAATTACAGGTAGGCAGTGATGTTTTCATTTCTGTTCCATAGCATAGAGAGCAGATATTCCACATTTTTTTTCCTCTCATTGTTTTGTGAGGCATCTTCCTTACATGTGGAAGTTAGTTTTTTTAAAGCACAAAATTTGCCTTTTATTTATGAACTGCACAAGTTAATTTAAGTGTTAAACTCGATGGAATCAAATGATTGTTTATTTTTTAACCTTCAGCCCATTGCCTGTGACCTCTAACCCAGATCTGAGCCCTGCAGATGCAGTACCTTGTCTTGTCCCTTCCCTTGGGCCCAGCGTTTCTCCCAGCAGGTATGGCTTCTTGCTTTTTAGACACTCTCACACCTCCAGCTTTGACTGCAAGAAGAAAATACAACTTATGTAACAGTATAGAAGAACAGCATGTTAGACAGAGAAGACAAAATAATACACCCCAGATAAACGTTAAGAAGTTTTCTTGCACAGCTTCACTCTATTTTTACTTCACTTGTATATACACGTGTACATGAAGTAAAGAGATCCATCAAAAAGAGCAAAATGCTGCCACCACGTACTCAAATCAGCTTCCAGATGCTGTGATCAGGAAGTCAGCGAGGTTCTGGTCACTGGAACTTACATATCCAGCACTGTACGTGTATGGAACAATCATCCATTTTCAGTACAAGAAACAAAAAATTCCACAACTCCAAACATTTCCAGTTTTGAAACAGCAAGAAAGGTGCCGTGATGTGTCCAAGGCATTTCAGAAGAAAGCCAGTAATGCAAATAAGAACCAGATGCACCTTACATTGTGTTCTAACAAGTTTAATTATGCTTCATTAAGATACCTGCCAATCACAAAACCAGTTGGCACTAATTAAAGTACAGATGATCTAACAGTAACGATTTAAGCTCTGAGGCTTGTCAGAAACTTCGGTTCTGAACAAAGAACACAAACCGTCTGAAACATTTTCCTGGTCACAAAGACACTTCAAGTTTTAAACCTGCCGACAAACTCAGGCTTAGAAACAACAACTCTCCAGCCATGCCGGCAGCAGCCCTACAGTGCTGGAGTTCTGCAGTACCTGGGCTTGGCTCCCTTTCTAGCATCGCTTACGCGCAGTTAACTGTGCTGCTGTGTCAGCAGTAAATAAGCAGCCTGCTGATCTTACAGCCGCAGATCCAGCAGAGACTTGGAGCGCCGTTGTTTGGGCAATCTCACTGCAAAATAAGACGACTCTGAAATGGAAGCGCCAACCGTGCTCAATTAGCTTTTAGTAAAGAGCAGCAGGACTCTAAACGCCCTCAAGCTCCCACGTGGGGAAGCTCATCCCTGTCTCTGCTAAGTGGAAGTTCGGGTTTGGGCTTCGTTAGCCGTGTTTAACTTAACAACAGTGAAAAGCCAGGATATTTCAAGGTCTCGGCAAGGTCTGTTCTGCAGCTTCTTGCGATACGCTGACCCTGCTGCAACCCGACGGCACGCGGACGTGCTCCCTTTTTGGGGGAGCGTCCAACCCCAGAAGAGACCACGAGCCATTCATTCCCTGCCCGGGGCCGCACAGAGCGACGGGCAGCGCGCAAACCAGCGGGGCGAGACCCAGCGGGGCGCTGAGCGGTCCGCTCCGTGCGGGCGAGCGGGAACCGGGGCTCTGCCCGCCCGACGGGGAAACCGCCTTCTGCTTTTTTCAAAGCAGCTGAGACGTCGAAAGTTTTCGTGCGGTGTTCAGGTTTCTTAGTGAGCGCCTGTAAGCTGTGCAACTGAGCAGCCGAGAGCTCAGCGCGAAGCGCCCGAAGTCCCCGCTGGCTTCCAAATTAAAGAGCACCACAACTTTCAAAGGAATGAGGTGAAAAAAACAACGGCAAGTAAACTGGGCACGGCGCAGAAGCGCTGAGCTGCGCTACGCCGCAACGGCACCGCGCCCAGGACGGGGAGCCCGGCACGGCACGGCAGAGCTCGGCACAGCCCAGCACGGCAGAGCCCGGCAGCCCGCCCGCTTCAGGGCCGCCCGGGCGCCGAGCAGCCGTTCCCGTCCCCCGAAGGGCAGCTGAGCGCTGAGGCCAGCCGGAGAAACCGGAAAAAAATTACCTCCCGAACCTAGAAAGGCGCGTTCGGAAAAGCAGCTCTGGAAGCGCCCGGCACGTGTCAGCGCACGCCGGGAGCAGCGGGCGCGGGGTGAACCCGGCCCGGGGAGCAGCGCGACCGAGGAGCGAACCGGGCACGCGGCTCAGCTCCGCGCTGCGCCCGCCGTCCGTCCGTCCGCACCGCCCGGCCCGGGGCCGCCACGCTCCGCACGCCGAGGGCCGAGGCGCGGTACCCGACGGAGCAGGAGCGGCAGCAGAGGCTCCCACCGACACGACGCGGCACACGGCCCGTACCTGAGGGAGCGCGGCCGCCCGGCACCGCGAGCGGCTCCCGGAGCGCCCTGCGAGCCATCGCCGGGCGGGGAAGGCGGGGCGGGGCGGCTGCGCTGCGGTAATTACAGAGCGTGTTCAAGGAGGAAAGAACCAATCAGCGGTACGGCTGCACAACGCCAAACATCGCATCCAACGCAGCAGCGAACGGCGAACGCGCCTCGTTGCTCGAACCGCACGAGATGCTCGGCGTGGCGTGGCGGGCTCCGTGCGAGGCGTTCCCGTCACGGATGGTACAAGCTGGTTTCTCACGTGTCGCTTTACATAACGTACGTAGTTACTTGTAACTTACTTCTCTTCTTAAGCAGGAGCCCGGCACTTCGCCGCCGTGTTACCGCAGCACGGCGCTCCGGCCGGCAGCTGCGCCTCGGGGAGCGACTGCGGGAACGGAACGGAGCTGCCTTCGAAGCAGAACTCCGTAGCGGCTTTTCTGACTCCATGCGGGGCTTTTGACGTGATCGGTACTGAATTCTGAAATAACCGCCTTGTCAGTAAGATTTTCCGAGTCTTTTCTGTGATGTTTATAATCCCAGAGTTACAGTCCTTAATCCTGTTTAACACTACATAGAATTAGCATCATCCGTTTAGATGGCCTATGCAGAAATAGCATCGCTCTCGGTGAACGTCTGAGTCTAACCTTAGAATGGAACACAAGAACTGGAAGAGGATGTACCCAGTCTGTAACTGCTTGGTACATTCGTTTGCAGTTTCGTTTTCAGTATTTAAATATAAAAAAAATCCATTAAGGAATTCTTTTCCAATGCTTGCCATAAATGGTGCAAACGTTGCCGTGGATGAAGATCTTACATTCTGGCATTGTCTCGAATCTGTCAGTGCTGATAGTATTTTGTAGGAAGACAACAGGGCCTTCGAGACACTAAGCTTTGTGTGGGATGATGGGCAGGGAGAGCAGAAGGCAATTCCTTCTGAGATCCCATGGGCCTCAATGCACGCGCGGTGCTGAGGAGAATACGCAGCAATATTAGAGTACAAACAGCCCTCACTACCTTTTTGTGTTGCAATATTTCGTGGCTTAAAATGACAGTGACAAAAGCATTGCTGATGGTCCCTTGAATCACAGCGCTGTGCCCTCTGCCTGAGTCGGAGAGCAAAATGTGCAAAATCTGCATGTGTTGTGATGAGACCTCGTCACTTCTGCCTGTGTGCAGTCACTGAAGAAGCCATAAATGCACGCCAAAGAGATTTTTTTGTGTGCTGCAAACATGCTCTGCTCTGTGCCACAAAAATTAGCTGGTTTAGAGACTGCAAAATCAAACGCAGAAGAAAAAATTGTGTTCACATTACAATTTATTGGAGATTGCCCTGTTCTTGCATTTTGTAAATTAAAAACAGGAGAAGACAAAATGTAAGAAAAAGGAAGGGAATCAGGAGGGGAAAATTTAAATAGAAAAGAAAGTAGAAGAAAACAGTGGGGATTTACAGCACAACGGCATTTGTCCATCGATGGATGCTGCTGCTTGTTGGGATTTTTAGAGATAAAGAAGTTAAAGGACTTCCTGTCTGCAACAGATAAATCTGGTATTTCAGCTCTATGTATTCAGCTCTCTGTGAGGCAGGAAATACTTGGAAATGCAGAATTTCCCCCCTAGAAGAGCAGCATACCTGGCAGATATTAACATCAATAGTAGCGCACGTGTCTGCCACCAAGCACTGAGCTTGAAATGGATGATGACATTTTGACTGGGGAAAGGAATTATTTAAGATAAAATGGTGTGAAGGAGAGATAACAGAAGAAACGTTCCGAACTATTTGTTCAGTCACAGGTAGCAATGTGAAGTTCACTTCTCACTCACAGACAGGCAATACGTTTTTCAGTTGAGCCAGCAGAGCTATTTTTAATGCTGCAGGAACGTGACAGAAAGAAAAAGCATTCTGCTGCGAGTGTCCGGTTCAGTGCAGTTCTGATTAACACCAACATTAATACTTTTCCTCCGACCTGTGCTTGTGTTTTTATGGTAGTTTGGAGTGGGTGTGGATAATGGCATGAAGAACATTATTGCTAAGTATATGAAATCCAGAAGAGTCCAATCAGTGAACTGAGACACGTTCAGTGATTTCTATGTTGCTGTAATCGTTCACACGAGCATTCAGTATGCATTCTACAAAGTGTGGGAAGTCTGACCTCACATCTGCGCTTATCTGCGTCCTCTCGGCATCTCTTGGAGACCTGACAAGTTTAAGGCCTGATTTTGATCTGATGCCACATTTTTCATAGGCTATGGGGGAAAAAGGCGTTGTTTGGTGGTGCAGCTGGGTGGTGTCATTAAGGAGAAGCTGTGCCTTACTGGCTAATTTCTCGTTATAAAATAAAATTTTGTAGCCAGAACGACCAGGAAGATCTAGCTTTGTGGTCCCGTGTCTTCTTTTAGAAACAAACACATCACTGGGTGGTGGAACAAGTCAATCAATTCTAAAGAATTTGGTTGGAACACCCAAAGCTGTATGGGGGCCCTGCACAGATCTCACTTTTTCTTTCACGTTGTAAGAGTGTGACGTGTTTTGTTGGGCACGGCTCCGGGCCGTTACCCCTAAAAGCAGACCTTAATGGGGGGTAGCAGAGGAAGGTAAAAGTTTTTTGCGCCTGGTTCCACGCGCCCGCTCGGAGCTGCCCGCCTCTGACGGCCGCAGCTCCCTGCAGTTACAGCGAGCGGCCACCAGGGGGCGGGACACACAGCCGTGCAACCGCGCTGCGGCACCTTCTCACAGCGCGGACTTTGCAAACTGCACTGCTTAGAGCCGTTCATCACTCGGCATTTTCATGCCTTTTGCTCGAGGAGAAGCCTCCATCTCAGTACGTTTGTCCCCACGGCCGGTCGGTGCTCCTTGCAAACAGCTGCTGAGCTATTGCACCAAACCGAGCGGCGCTCAGAACTGTTAGCGGCCAGCATCTCGTGCACTACTTTAACAGCAGGCAGCTTCAGCAGGTAATCACTGTAGCAAAGAAAAACACATGGCAGCCAAGTCTGCAAAAAAATACATGGAGACTTTTAACATGTTCAGTGCCACGTTCTGTTCTGTGCAGTTGAGTCAGTGGGCTTTGCTTCAAGTACGTTTTCAGATGTGGGACATTTTCAGTCTCATTCAAATACTTTCAGAAGTTTCCTTGTTTCATGGGGAAAGTCTGAAAAAAACAGCTGAGAGTTGTTTTGCTTTGCATTCTTTACAAATTTAATTGTCAAAATTCATAACTGGTAAGCAGTTAAGCAGGATAGACGTTGTGTTGGGCTACAGCACAATTTCCTTTCCAGCTCTGTGTCATGTGTGAGGAGAGCCTGCTACAGGTTAACATGGGCAGAAAGTTTTTTAAATGTTCTTTCTTTGCTACTGAGGTGTGAACATTTACCAGCATCAGCAAGGTGGGCAGATCCAAGCTGAACGGCTTCTTGGCAGTTGATGAATGGCCTTACTCCTGTTTCATTGTTTGAGATAATAATCATATGCAATATTTAGAAGTAGATATTATTCTAAATGTTAGATATTTAGAAATCCTCTTCCTCAACAGTGCAGTAACCTCTCTGGATGAATGACAGCTTTAAATAGGATCTGTATAAATAGGGGGAATTTACAGCCACGCTGCAGGATTATGTATTTTGTTCCCATATTAAGCACCCACATATGACGAATGATTTTTGGGTTGAGGGAAAATTGTCAACAGTCAGCATTTCATGGGATGTGATGCTCTCAGTTTCCTGCATCTCTACCCATTCTGGAGGTGCACCAGCTGATTCTGGATTTACTTAATTACCTGATTTATTTAGGACACAATGAATGAACTGTGACTTGATTATGAGCCATCTGTAACGAGCCAGAGGTTTTTTGCGTTTAGTCCTAATGGAGATCAATCTCTTCTCATAGTGCACGACCACGTTGTGCCGATGCACGGGGAGATCATTCAATTCACTCTCCCAGTCAGGAGAAATGCACTCACAAATACCTCAAGGAGCCAGCTGGAAATCACCTCAGCAGGTACCCTGCTGCTTGTATTTTTCATGTAGTACACATGAAGTAGAACAGACCAGAAGGAGATTTTTACCATCAAAAATAATTGGTATGTGAGATGACATGTACCAGTATTCAGGGTGCCCTGCAGCAGTCAGCAGTGAGGTGATCTGAAAGACCTCTACTGTGTTCCAGTTTTAGACACACCTGATTAGGTTTTATGAAAGTAGCACAGCTCGGATGATTACACAAGCAAGTCTAATTATGATATAATTACCAACTCTACTGTTAATTAAAATGCCATAAAAAATCTAAGTAATCATAAACATAGGTTTGGGTTGGCAGGGACCTTTAAGGTCACTGTGTTCCAAATATGATGACAACTTCCCCCCAGGACTTCAAATATACTAGGGCTCAAGCTTTTTGCATCTTTTGTGGCTGGAGGTAAGCTTTTCTGAGCAGGCCTTTTTTTGTGAAGGACTCATGAAAAAAATCCATAAATGCATCATGTCAGAGACAAGGACTTAGACTTAATTTAGGAAAAAAAAAAAAAACATTTCCATGCCCATCAGCTGAAATTGGCAAGGCTCATATTGCAGACAGCATCACACAGGAATATAACTTCTTACTTGGACTCTCTAATCTCCAATTGTGCAAGCTTCATTGGACTCATTTGACTCAGAGAAGCAAAAGACTTGAGTCATTTCACTCATTGAAGCATCGATTTCTTTTAAATGCAC